TAACTTCCCAAAATTCGAGGACTAGTACGTCACACATTTCTAGTACGTCACACATTTCTAGCTACTGGGCTTCCGAGCGATCTCATTACAGCACGAAACACTGCAAAAACACAACTGCACGGGCTTGTTCGGTGCGCGACGCCAGTGATTTTGCTTTGCTTTGTGCTGTTTTTTGACCACTTCCCTTATTTTCCTCATGATCCCTTCTCCTTCACTGTCACTTTCCGAAATGCATCATTTTCTCCTTGAGTTTCGAGCTTCATCGGGCTTGCTGCTGGTAATGATCATCAACTTCTGTGTACTTTCTATCACTTCCCACCGAAGCATTGCCTGATCGGCTTCCTTACGCGGTTTTGAACTATCATAGCTATTTGTGCGCGACTTTTTAATTCACTGCTGGGTCATTGTGGCCCATTCGTGGTTACTTGTAAGTGGTTAAAATAGGCACTTTGAACTTCGCCACGTGCGTTTACAGTTGTATGTCCTCTCAGGAAAAAATTGTCATCCGGTGGGAACATTTTGCGAGTGTGGTGAATTGGAAAGACGTTCACTGCTACGATCTGTGAGTTCTGGCAATGTCCAGAATTTGAATGCGTCCAGTGTAAACAATGAAAATAACACGTTTGATTCGGCAGTCGAATGCACTGACCGTCCTAGTGACCGCTTGCGACCTCAATGTCACACGACTGAGTGACAAGTTTAATGTAATCCAGTGGGCCGAGTCTGGCACAATGCCTAAGAAAATGCTGATCGAGGAAGTGGCGGCTGCTCATGGACTGCTTTGTCTGGTAAGTGGCGTTCTTCTTTTGTCCTGTGGCTTCTCCTGTTCAGCGAGTTATATGCAAAAGTGAATTAGGATTATTTATCTTTTTTTGTCAGATCAAGCAATCCGTAGTTGTTATTTGGGCCCGATTAATGATTTAAACTGTGAACTGCTACCGCCTCAGTTCAGCCCACAGTCGTCTGATTATCCAAGCCTGAGTCCAGTTGAAGACCATCAGAATTATCTGTTTCCGGTTCCGCTTTTTGACATATCAGAAACAAAAATTTCAGCTGCATGACAAAATAGATGCTGAAGTGCTAAGTGCTTCTAATAATTTACGCGTTATTTCGACGCTTTCCGCTGGCTACGATCATATCGATTTGGAAGAATGCAAAAAACGGTAATAAATTTGACTTTTTACGTGGCGTGTC